CAATTCGAAGTATTTTTTTTCATGAAATTATTGTTTTTCGCTAAATTACCATGGAAAAGCTATAAACAGAGTGCTGTCATCATTCAAAAAAAAATAATTCAAAATTTTGTGGCGTCATTGTTCCGCGAGTCCGTTGTGTTCAACCCTGGATGGCTCAACTATTGTGTACAACCCTGGCGGCCTGACGTGACGTGACAGAAGACAGCTGTCCCAGGTTGTTGTTTACTTCTAGTCAGCTTGTTGCCGCGCAATTATGATATCGTGTTGTTGTTGTTAACAAAATAAAGTATTTCGATTTATTTGTATGTTCAGTGCCCAGAATTAAACCGAGTTATTAGTAAAACAGTGTTTTCATTCGCTGGTGATATATCAAGCAAACACATAGCAGTAGTAGCTATAACTGGTGACCCCGACGTGATATATCTCCGCGTACCACTCGGCCTCTAACCTAAAAGACGTGTCTGACTACTAAAAAAATCAAGATGCAAAGCAATTTCGACTCCTCAGTAGATCCTGATCAGCAATTGGCTGCAAACAGCTCTTTTACCAACCAGCAACCAGACAGGAGTTCGTCAGTGAGTATTCCTATGCCTCAACCTTCTGGCCCTCACGGCAGTACAGCATTTGATCCCGCGGTGCATTTTAATCCAACAAATCACCCGGTGAGCTATCAGCAAGCATATGCCCAACCAGTAGTAAATTCGTTGCCAGCCCCCATGATGCTCAACCAGCAGCAGAGTTATGCCATTGACGCAGTTTACAACTGCAATCTGCCACCCTTTTAGCGTTCTCATCCAGACCTATGGTTCCTGCAGATTGAATCAGTCTTTCAAGCCCACCGTATACAGTCCGATAGCACCAAGTACTATCAATTGGTAAAATCACTGGACCCGGACACAATCACGGAAGTTGCAGACATCTTGAAGGCTCCACCACCTCAAGATAAGTACCAAAATCTCAAGTCTAACCTAATAAGTAGACTAACAGCCTCCGAAGACTCTCAGAGGCACAAACTGCTCACTGATCTAGAACTAGGTGACCGAAAACCCTCACAGTTGCTTCGTGAAATGCGAGCCCTTGCCGGCAATCGTGCTACAGAAGACGTGCTCCGCATACGATGGCTGGCCCTTCTGCCTGTCAGCATTCAGCACTTGCTGAAAATTTTCAAGGCCAATTCACTTAACGAACTAGCTGCTGCAGCTGATGAGCTCATGACAAACATCCCTGGTGGCAGTGTCATGGCCGTCAACCAGAGCTCTCGCCAGCATGGACATGGTTCTTCAGTAGCCTCCGAGCTGAACGAACTCAGACAAGCCATCACAGAACTAACCATTGCTCAGAAGGACCTCACTTCTGCCATCAGACAGAGTCTCACCTCTACCAGTCGACAACCACGTGAGCGTTCTGTCACTTCTGGAGAATGCCGATATCATCGAAAATTCGGTGCCCGGGCCCAAAAATGTGTCTCAGCTGCCACTAGCATCTTCACGCCAGGAAAACTAAATATGCTGTCGCCTGTTCAGGTGGTAAGCGACAGCAATGTCAACAGCACCTGCCTCCCATCTAAAGAAAGTCGCCTGCACGTCATAGACAAGGTCACTGGCATGAAGTTCCTTATCGACAGTGGTTCCGTTGTATCCTTGATTCCAAGAAGCTTCTTTCAACGAAAACTTCTGCCTGCTGACCTCATGCTATATGCAGCCAATGCAACAGTTATCAAAACGTATGGTCAACACTTTCTTAACCTCAATTTTGGACTCCGCAGATCCTTCAAGTGGGCATTTATCATTGCAGACGTCAAATCAGCAATCATAGGTGCCGACCTGCTTTCACATCATGGCCTCCTTCCTGATTTAAAGCACAAGCGCCTTCTGGACTCTCTCACCTCACTGTCTTCTCCTGCTGAAATGCATGAAACCGAACTTCATACTGTTTCCACTGTCAATAATGCAGAATATGCACCTCCTACACTCAGTCAACCCTATAGCAAGTTGCTGGAAGAGTTTATTGACATCACCCGTCCAAGGTCAGCCCCATCAGTGGACGCCCCTACAGGAACTTATCACCACATAGTCACCACTGGACCGCCAGTCAATGACCGTCCACGTCGGCTAAACTCAGAGAAACTAAAGATTGCTAAAGAGGATTTCGACCTCCTGTTGCATCATGCTGTTATCCGTCCCTCCAGCAGTCCATGGGCCAGTCCTCTACACATGGTCCAGAAAAAGCAAGGTGGATGGCGTTCCACAGGTGATTTTAGGAGGCTCAATTCCCAGACTGTGCCAGATCGGTACCCCATACCACTACCAGAAGACATCTTTCAGCGGCTGCATGGGAAAAGTGTCTTCACTGTCATTGACCTGGTTCGAGCTTACCACCAAATTCCTGTAGCACCAGAGGACATACCCAAAACAGCGATAACTACTCCTTTTGGGCTTTTTGAGTTTCTGGGTATGCCTCCAGGCCTGCGCAATGCCACTCAGACATTTCAACGTCATATGGACAACCTTCTCCGTGGTATTGACTTCGCAGCATGCTACATTGATGACTTGATAGTGTTCTCGGATTCCCATGAGGAACATCTGCAACATCTACGCGAAATCTTTAATGTACTGCGTGAGAACAAACTCACTATCAACCTCAGCAAGTGCCAAATCAACAAGTCAGAAGTTATGTACCTCGGCTACTCCATCAACAAGCTCGGATACAAACCACCTGATTCCAAGATCCAAGCCATCGCTTCTTACCCTAAGCCAGAGACCATCTCTGACCTTCGTAAGTTTTTGGGAATGCTCAATTATTACCGTCGCTGTATTCCAAAGGCCGCTGAACTTCAAGCCCCTCTCAATGCATTTATGAAGGGTGCCAAGAAAAAAGACAAACGGCCCATCCCTTGGACACCCAGCTCAGAGAAGGCCTACCAAGACTGTGTAGAAAGCATTGTCAAAGCGACTTGTACCAGCTTCATCTCACCCTTTGCAAATCTCGCACTCGTCACTGATGCCTCGGACTTCGCCATTGGAGCTGCACTTGAACAGCTGATCGACGACTGCTGGAAGCCCATAGGTTTTTTTTCCCGCAAGTTGAGTCCCACCGAAACGCGATACAGCACCTACGATCGCGAGCTGCTAGCGATTTTCGCTGCAATAAAGTTCTTTCGTCACCAGCTGGAAGGACGCCAGTTCATCATCAAAACTGATCATCGCCCACTGGTATACGCCTTTGCTCAGCGCGCTGAAAAAGCATCCCCCAGACAGCTCCATCAACTGGACTTTATTTCACAATTCAGCACAGAAATCGTCTATGTCAAGGGAGAACACAACGCCGTTGCTGACGCCCTGTCTCGTATTAACGCTATCTCCATGCCAACGTCACTGTCTCCTAAAGCCATCGAAGCCGCACAGCTTGAAGACCAAGATACGCCACAAGAATCATCGCTCAATCTGCAACAGCTTGTTATTGAAAACGCCAACGTCCTCTGTGATATCTCTTCAGATCGCATCAGACCCTACATTCCGACAAGTCTCCGACGCAAAGCTTTTGATGTTGTGCATGGTTTGGCACACCCCAGCGGCCGAGTCACTGCTCGAAGCCTCAAAGAAAAATTTGTTTGGCCTGGAATCAAGAAGGACGCCCTCCAGTGGTCCCGCCAATGCATTCAGTGTCAAAAATCCAAAATTCAACGACACAATCGTCTCGCACCACAGCACATCACCGTACCTGACAACAGATTCGAGCATATTCACCTAGACCTCATCATTTTACCACCAGTCAACAAATTTCGTTACTGCTTAACCATAATTGATCGATTTTCTAGATGGCCTGTTGCAGTACCCCTCCAGAACATGGAAGCTGACACCGTCTCGTCTGCTCTCTATGTCAATTGGATTTGCAACTATGGAACGCCACTATCCATCACAACTGACCAGGGCACGCAATTTGAATCTTCACTATTTTCGGCTCTTGCACGCCTTGTAGGAGCGCGGGTAATCCACACCACGCCCTATCACCCGCAATCCAATGGCATCGTAGAGCGCTTCCATAGGACTTTGAAGGCAGCCCTTATGTGTCAAGCACCCACAACCTGGACGGAAGTGCTTCCGACCGTTCTTCTGGGTCTGCGTACGTGCCTGAAAGAAGACCTGAATGCCTCACCAGCGGAGCTCCTTTATGGGACACCCCTGCGTATACCTGGTGAATTCTTCACCTCTGAGTCATCCCCAGCTGATCCCCAAGTCTTCCTCGAAAAATACCGGGACCACATCAGGAAAGTCCGCCCAACACCTACGGCTCACCATATCAAATCTCGCTGCTTCATCCTCAAGGACCTCGCAACTTGCAGTCATGTCTTCCGCCGAGTGGACTCTGTTCGTCGCCCGCTCGAACCGCCCTACACTGGCCCGCATGAAGTCGTCAAGAGAATAAATGACCGAGTGTACAGCATTCGAATCAATGGCGTTGAGAAGACTGTCTCTGTGGACGCCCTGAAGCCAGCCTACACCCTTAAACCCGATACCGTTTCATCCACCCTGGAGAATCACCCAGCGTCATCCTTCACCATGGACCGCCCTCTTCGCACTTACTCAAAAAAGAAGGTTTCGTTCCTCCCACAAGTGGCTTCGTCACTGGGAGGGGAGTAGATGTGGCGTCATTGTTCCGCGAGTCCGTTGTGTTCAACCCTGGATGGCTCAACTATTGTGTACAACCCTGGCGGCCTGACGTGACGTGACAGAAGACAGCTGTCCCAGGTTGTTGTTTACTTCTAGTCAGCTTGTTGCCGCGCAATTATGATATCGTGTTGTTGTTGTTAACAAAATAAAGTATTTCGATTTATTTGTATGTTCAGTGCCCAGAATTAAACCGAGTTATTAGTAAAACAGTGTTTTCATTCGCTGGTGATATATCAAGCAAACACATAGCAGTAGTAGCTATAATTTCTTAACTGGTGGCGCCATCTATTGACAATGTATAATAATGAAATAAGGTAAAATTCTTCCTTATCACTCATTATTTTCATAATAATTATTCTTTGTCCCAAACTTTAGGTAACTTTCAAACAATTCGAAGTCTTTTTTATAGTTATCAAAATAATTGTTTTACGCAAAATTACCGTTAAAAATGTTTAATATCTCAACTAGTGCTGCCATCTATCAACATTGTATAATATTAAAAATGAGTATTATAATGAAAATCTGTATCGTAATGAAGTTCATTATAATACAGATTTTAATCGTTTAATGGCGTATTATGAAATGTCAGTAGAAAAAAAAATATATATATACATAATTTGTTTACCTAAAAAGTTCCTGCAACCGCCAGCAGTAACGCCCCGGACCCATTCCCCTTCGAACACCGACATTTCCCATTTCTTCTTGTTGCCCTCCCTCAGCTCCTCGTCGCTGAGCGAGTCCGGATTCAAATTGCAAATCTCCACCCGACTAAAGTGCTTTTGGAAATCTTTAAACGACATCCAAAATTCGCCATCATTGTCAAACGTCAAGCCAAGTTCCTCCTTTTCCGAATCGGAAATGAAACGCCACTCGGCCGAGCCGTCGCCCCACGCTCCGTTCCACTCGGACTCGTTTCCCCACGGATTACGTAGTCGGAGTAGAGGAATTTTGCCTGAGACGTTGGGCGTTTGGATGTCGACGTATTGAACTCGGGTGATGCTGTATGCGTGCCCTCTTACAAGGCCTTCGGGCGTTTGGGCTTCGGTTATGTGAGGATCGGGCTCGATGCTGCACCCCATTAGGGAAGCTCTTTCGTAGGCTTTAAGCATTATTTGAAACAGGTTTGGCGGACTTGCGTCCATTTCGTACATTTCGGTTACGCCTCCGGTAAAGTCTTCCATTGCTTCGCAAGTGGAGCCTCCTTTTAGGGCTTCATAGGACCCGTGCAATCTGGAAAGATGTCAGTTTATATATTATATGCAGAGCTGTCAAAAATAACTTTTAAAAAGTATCTTGTTACAAGATAAATTACTTTTGGAAAAAGTATCTGAAGTAATACATTATTTAACTTAGAAGAGAATTTATTCAGTTATCCGAAAATATATAAATAAAATTTTTCCTAGAGTGATTTTTCACTGGAAAATTTTTGAAATTTTCCTTCTGCTAGTTTTCCAGAAAAAAAATTAAAATGTAAAAGGATGAATTTTCCTTAATTTTACTTGAAAAAGTCAATTTTCCAAGTGATTTCTCACTGGAAAATTTCGAAATTTTTAATGAGCTCCTTATTTTCTTCTTTCTCCTGGAAAAATTTCACAACTTTTGCTTTATTAGTTTTTCCTTAGTTTTTGCATTTTCGAAAAACTCATAATTTTCGTAATTCCCTCGTATTTAACTTTTTCGTAATTTTCCCATAACTTCAAAAATCATAATTTTTTCGTAATTCCCGTAATTTTTTGTACTTATTTTTAATTCTCTTAATTTTTTAAAAAACTTCGTTATTTCTAAATTCTCCCCAAGTTTTGTAATTTTCATAATTTCAAAAATTCGTGATTTTCGTAATTCCTATAATTTTTGTAATTTTGTAATTAATTCTCTTTATTTTTATAATTCCTGCAATTTTCCGTAACTTTTCAAAAATTGCAAAAAACTGAGTGTCAAAATCGCTGGAAAGTGACGTTGGAATTACAAAAAATAAAAGTAAAAATTACGGAAAAATGAGGTTGGAAATGTTGAAATTGCGAAAAAGTTGAGTAAAAATGGCGGAAAAGCAAGGTTATAATCGAGAAAAAATGAGGTTATAAATACGAAAAACAAAAGTAAAGATTATGGAAAAATCAGGTTGAAATTGCGAAAATGTGAAACGAAAATCACGGAAAAGTGAGGTTATACTTATTAAAAAATGAGGCAAGAATAACGGAAATTTGCGAAAAAGTGAGTTCGGACTTCGAAATTGCGGAAAAGTGAAGGTGAAATTGTGAAAAAAATTGTTAAAAGCCGTTATTTCTCAAATAAATTTCATTATTTTTATAATTTTTTCGTAGTTTTTGCAATTTTCACAAAACTCGTAATTTCCATAATTTTTTCGTAATTTCCTTAATTTTTCATAACTTTCCAAAATTCATCGTAATTTTTCTGTAATTCCCGTAATTTTTGAATAATTCCTGTTATTTCTCAGATTTTCGTAATTTTGAATTTCCGTAATTTCTCAAAATATTCAGTTACTTATTTTATAATTCACCCTAAGTTTTTGTAATTTTCAAAAATTCGTAATTCTCGTTATTTTCGTTTTTTTTTTTATGAATTTTCATTATTTCCGTAATTTCTCAGATAATTCTTCGTATTTCTATAATTCCTCCTTAGTTATTGCAATTCTCGAAAAACTCGTAATTTTCGTAATTCCCGTAACTTTTTCGTAAATTCCGTAACTTTCCAAAAATTATCGTAATTTTTTCGTAATTCCAGTGATTTTTTCTTATTTCTTTCAATTTTTATAATTCCTGTAGTTCCTTAAATTTTCGAAAATTTTTAAATTCCCGTCATTTCTCAAAAAATTCTCGTTAATTCCATAATTCCCCCTTAGTTTTTGCAATTTTCGGAAAATTCGTGAATCCTGTAACTTTTTGTAATTCTTGTTATTTTCGTAATTTTTTGAAAATTGTCACAATTTTTAAAATTCCTGTGATTTTTTCGTATTTTCCATAGTTTTTGAATAATTCCTGTAATTTTCAGATTTCCGTAATTTTTTAATTCCTGTAATTTTTCAGAAAACTCCGTTATTTTTATTATTCCAAAAACATGTAATTCTCGTAATTTTCGTATTTTATTTTAGGAATTTTCGAAATTTTGTAATTCCTGTCATTTTTTAGATAATTCTCGTTATTTTCATAATACCCCCTTAGTTTTTACAATTTTCGAAAAACTCGAAATTTTCGTAATTCCCATTATTTTCGTAATTTTTTAATTTCCGTAATTTCTCAAAAAAATTCCGTTAGTACGTACATGGCGCAGTACGGTAAACGCGAAGCGGCACGGCAGTGAAATATTTTACGTTTTAAAAAATGACACTTGAAAAAAAAAAAAAAAATTTATAGGTGTCATCGATCTGTTATTTGAAAAAAAAATTTTTTTGATAGGATTGGACCTGTCAAAAAATGACGTTTGAAAAAAAAAAATTTTTTTTATAACTTTGGACCTGTCAAAAAATAACATTTGAAAAAAAAAATAAAAATTATTATTATTGGACCTGTACAAAAAAAAATTACACTTGAAAAAAAAAAAAAAAAACTTCATATTATTGGACCTGTCAAAAAAAAATGACACTTGAAAAAAAAAAAAAAAAATTATAGGTGTCATCGGATCTATTATTTGAAAAAAAATTTTTTTTGATAGGATTGGACCTGTCAAAAAATGACGTTTGAAAAAAAAAAAATTTTTTTTATAACTTTGGACCTGTCAAAAAATAACATTTGAAAAAAAAAATAAAAATAATTATTATTGGACCTGTCAAAAAAAAATGACACTTGAAAAAAAAAAAAAAAAATTTATAGGTGTCATCGGATCTGTTATTTGAAAAACATTTTTTTTTGATAGGATTGGACCTGTCAAAAAATGACGTTTGAAAAAAAAAAAAATTTTTTTATAACTTTGGACCTGTCAAAAAATAACATTTGAAAAAAAAAATAAAAATAATTATTATTGGACCTATACAAAAAAAAATTACACTTGAAAAAAAAAAAAAAAAAAACTTCATATTATTGGACCTGTCAAAAAAAAATGACACTTGAAAAAAAAAAAAAAAAATTTATAGGTGTCATCGGATCTGTTATTTGAAAAAAAATTTTTTTTGATAGGATTGGACCTGTCAAAAAATGACGTTTGAAAAAAAAAAATTTTTTTTATAACTTTGGACCTGTCAAAAAATAACATTTGAAAAAAAAAATAAAAATAATTATTATTGGACCTATACAAAAAAAAATTACACTTGAAAAAAAAAAAAAAAAAAAAACTTCATATTATTGGACCTGTCAAAAAAAAATGACACTTGAAAAAAAAAAAAATAAATTTATAGGTGTCATCGGATCTGTTATTTGAAAAAAAAATTTTTTTGATAGGATTGGACCTGTCAAAAAATGACGTTTGAAAAAAAAAAATTTTTTTTTATAAGTTTGGACCTGTCAAAAAATAACATTTGAAAAAAAAAAATAAAATTATTATTATTGGACCTGTACAGGGTGTCCCATTGAAGATGGGAATTGGGGTTATCTGCTAAACTCGCAGAGATATATTTTTTTTGATTTCACATTCCCGGGTCAATTTTTTATGACAAATCGAATGCCGTAAAGCGCAGGTCTCTATCTTGTTTCGTTTCGGAGATACAGGGTGAAACTTGGAATGTTCACTTTTCGAGGGTAGTCATTATCTAGCGTATGAAAAAAGATATCAAAAAGGTGAAAATTGTATCTGACGCAGTTTTTTACGTAGATTTCATTGGCGTACTGGATTTTTTTTTTCCGAGATACCGTTTAAATAAAAATCTACCTCTATGAGTATAACAGATAGCCCCAATTCCCATCTTCAATGGGACACCCTGTACAAAAAAAAATTACACTTGAAAAAAAAAAAAAAAAACTTCATATTATTGGACCTGTCAAAAAAAAATGACACTTGAAAAAAAAAAAAAATTATAGGTGTCATTGGACCTGTCAAAAAAAAAAATTCATTTGAAATTTTTTTTTAATAGGATTGAACCTGTCAAAAAATGACGTTTGAAAAAAAAAATTTTTTTATAAGTTTGAACCAGTCAGAAAATGACATTAAAAAAAAAAAAAAATTCATATTAGACCTGTCAAAAAAAATTACATTTGAAAAAAAAATAAAAAATTTTAATATTATTGTACCTGTCAAAAAAAAATGACACTTGCAAAAAAAAATAAAATTTATAGGTGTCATTGGACTTGTCAAAAAAAAAAATTAATTTGAAAAAAAAAAAAAATTTTAATACTTGTCAAAAGATGACGTTTGAAAAAAAAATCTATAAATTTGGATTTGTCAAAAAATGACATTTGAAAAAAAAATTAAAATTTTGTTCATATTATTGGACATGTCAAAAAAAAAATGACACACTTGAAAAAAAATAAATAAATATAGGTGTCATTGGAGCTGTCAAAAAATGACGTTTAAAAAAAAAAATTATTTTAAATAAGTTTGGACCTGTCAAAAAATGACGTTTGAAAAAAAAATATTTTTTTATAGGATTGGACTTGTCAAAAAATGACGTTTGAAAAAAAAAAAAATTTTTTTTTAAAGTTTGAACCTGTCAAAAAATGACATTAAAAAAAATAAAATTCATATTATTGTAAGTACCTGTCAAAAAAAAATGACACTTGCAAAAAAAAAAAATAATAATTTATAGGTATCATTGGACCTGTATTTTTTTTATAGGATTGGACATTGGACCTGTCAAAAAATAACGTTGAAAAAAAAAAAAAATTATAACTTTGGACCTGTCAAAAAATGACATTTGAAAAAAAAAAAAAAATCATATTATTGGACTTGTCAAAAAAAAATGACACTTGAAAAAAAAATAAAAAAATTAGGAGTCATTGAACCTGTCAAAAAAAAATTCATTTGAAATTTTTTTTTTTTATAGGATTGGACCTGTCAAAAAATGACGTTTAAAAAAAAAATTTTTTTATAACTTTGGACCTGTCAAAAAAAAAATTAATTTGAAAAAATTTTTTTTTAATACTTGTCAAAAAATGACGTTTGAAAAAAAAATCTATAAATTTGGATTTGTCAAAAAATGATATTTGAAAAAAAAATTAAAATTTTGTTCATATTATTGGACATGTCAAAAAAAAAAATGACACTTGAAAAAAAATAAATAAATATAGGTGTCATTGGAGCTGTCAAAAAATGACGTTTAAAAAAAAAAAATTTTTAAAATAAGTTTGGACCTGTCAAAAAATTACGTTTGAAAAAAAAAAATTTTTTTTTATAAGTTTGGACCTGTCAAAAAATAACATTTGAAAAAAAATTCATTTGAAAAAAAAATATTTTTT